CATAAATTGTTTAGGAGAAAATGTATTGAACGGCAACGCAAACGAATGAATACCTGAAAGCACTGCGAGTAGCAATGCCCCCGACTGGTTGTACCTCCACTTTCATCGTCCAAGTACTGTCATACACGATCATGTTGTACTTTATTGCCACGTTTTACACACCGGAGAAATATTGGTTCCCTGTATCAAGTCAGGAACCTTTTATATCGCAACGCAAATGAATGAATATTTGAAAGCGCTGGGGGTAGGAGAAGCAATGCCTTCGACTGGATGACATATCGCATTCAATTCATTGTCCAAGTACCGTCATACAAATCATATTGCACTTTATTGCCACGTTTTACACACCGGAGATATATTGTTTCCCTGTATCATGTCGGCTAATGAATATAACGTCTGTATTAAGTCGTGGACAGCATCTAAGGCATCGTCTTGCAACTTCTGGTCGCCAAACTGCGGAGCGAATGTTGATTCCTAAGTGGAAAAGGTTCAAGAGACTATCGCAAATCATCAAAAGGGGTACTACCACAGGGCCGGAGAGTTTGTTCTTCTTAGATGCTAAAAACGTACCAGAGGCCACATTCGCACTGCCTCGATTATACAATGCGTTCGTATACCCAAGCGCACCTTTGTCAACGGGGTGTGAATAGCCAACTAGCTTCAACTGTGGCATGACCATGGACTGTGCCACAAACTTCACAACTGGGTTCAAGTTGCCGATATTAGTGCCAGAAGTCATACCTGGACTGTCAGTTACAATGTGGCATTCGGGGTGCTTTCTCGCAAGTGAGGACATGTACAACGCAGCGATTGCCTTAGTATATGCATAGGCGCCGTTGATGTCACTCTCCAGCGGGTTTTCTCCTGTGAGGTGACTATATACGTCTGCTTTATATGGTTCCTTGAAGACGGTACCCATTGCGCTATAAACCCCACGCGCTGCTTCGCTGCCCGAGTACACCACAACTACATTCTCTGTACGACCGCTGGCAATCAATTCCTCAACAAATACAACATGTCCAATTGTATTCACCAGGTGCATGAGCGGAACGCCCTTTGTGCTATCCTTCCCTGCTATGACACCTCCGGCATTCAGCATCACACCGTTCACTTTCTCCGATGTTAACTTCTGCGCGGCAGCCTTACAGGATTGGACATCTGAAGTATCCAGCACCAGCACCTCAAAGAAATCTGGAGTCTTCTTCGTTTTGGCCACCAGCCGTGCGATGGCGTCTTGCGCTTTACCCTCGCTTCTGCATGCTAGTATTACCTTTTTCACATCGGACTCCTCGGCAAGCTGTCGACAAGTATCAAAGCCCAACCCCGAATTGGCACCAGTCACAACTACAGTGGTTATATTTTTTTAGCTTTTTCAATGTCTAAAATACAGTGATAGGTATATATTGATAGTTACCGTTGTATAAAGTATTCCGAGTGATCCGTCGTACATATTTCAATTTCTTTTATACTCCCTATTTTTAACGTTCATGTGATAATATAGAAGAAAAAAACCCTTTTGAAAAAATAATCAAAAAAGATAATTACAATAGCCTTCTGAAATCAAACATTCAAAACTTCAGAAGGCTATGAAATTTACAAACAAAAATATGGCATTTATTGTATGATCATTGATCAATTGACAGTTGTATATTCAACAAACTTTAGAATGATCGATCAATGGCATTTCCATATCACTAATCAGTAATCACATCCCACATGCAAAATAAATTTTTATATTCAGCCTTCTTTAGACAGTATTATATTTTTAAAAACAAAAAATTAATAATAGGTCTCGATGTTGAAAAACGCATTGCTCTGTCTCCTCACACGTAGGACTCAGGAGTCAGGATCCTCGTTAAAATAAATAATCTCCAACTCCGAGTCTCTGACAGTCTGACTCTTGAGAGTCTGAGTTTGGATTTTGTTTTTTGTCTCTCGACCTTATTAAAAAAAAATACCACATGGCTGATGGCTCCGGTTACTTATGTAAATTCACTAAATATGTGGTATTTTGCTTGTGTGCATGTATGTTGAAAAAAAAAGACACACATTTCATGACCCTAGAGAGAGAAAAGAAAGAAAATATGGCTGAACGGACTAACGTCCGTAGGACCAAATTTTCTAGTAGATTATGTGAAAAATGAAAATCAAAACTCTATCCAAATTCCAGCCCCACAGGCCCACAAGGCTGGCCGGGCCACACTCATACAGTCACAAAACCCCCAAAAACCAGACCGACCCAGAGGCGTAGAGGCTAGAGAGGCCGGCGAGGGTCATTGAACTCATGATCAGTCTGTCAGACTGTCACACACACATTCTCTTCTCTCTCTCTCTTGTCCCACAAGTTCTCTGTGTGTGAACACTGAAGAGTGAACACAAACAACAAGAGAAGAGAGATGGATAGAGAGAATCTCTCTCTCTCTCGACACTATGTATTAACTAGTAAAGAGTGGAGAGAGTGAAGAGAGTGGTGACTCCAGTCTGCTCCCCAGTCAAATCTCAGGCCTCAAATCTG